GCCCCGCCGGAGGTCCCCCCCCCCGCACCGATCTGCTTGAACAGCTTCCGCGTCATCCACTTCCTGCTACACGAAATCCTTCGGATGTTTCCGGATTTATATACATTTCATTAAATTATTTTACATTATTATGAAATGACGTTTTCTCTCTGATTTTTATTTTCTGCCTTTTTAGTACACGAGGACGTGAACGTGTCTCACGTGCGATGATGAGAATGACTTTATCATCCAGTGAAGCACTTAAAGTGGACCTGTCATTAAAATTCCATCATCGCGTCGCATCAGCAAAATCGCATTCATATTTTGAATGAAAAAAAAGTGCCTCTTATTTCTGTGTCCGTCAGGTGACCTAAAGCAAAAGATCACATGATCTCCGGCTCCCTGGTGGCTGTTACATGATGACATGGCCTTGAGGAGAAACGCGTCCACCAAATCGGTGATATCAATGCACCATTCCCATTTTTAGATGGTTCATGAGCTCATTCCGAAACGTGGCCCAGCTGCTTTCACTGCAAGGGTGGAGTACTCCAGGCAATCTAAAATGAACCCTCGCAGTGGGGCTACCCCCCCCCCCCCCCCCCCTCGCTGCAAGGGTTAACTGCTCGTTATCTAATAGCTGTGAGAGGGGAGGTAACCTGTATCCCAGCCTAGGCCATTGTGTCACATGGTATCCTGTATCCCAGCCTAGGCCATTGTGTCACATGGTATCCTGTATCCCAGCCTAGGCCATTGTGTCACATGGTATCCTGTATCCCAGCCTAGGCCATTGTGTCACATGGTATCCTGTATGCCAGCCTAGGCCATTGTGTCACATGGTAACCTGTATGCCAGCCTAGGCCATTGTGTCACATGGTATCCTGTATCCCAGCCTAGGCCATTGTGTCACATGGTATCCTGTATCCCAGCCTAGGCCATTGTGTCGCATGGTAGCCTGTATCCCAGCCTAGGCCATTGTGGTCACATGGTATCCTGTATCAGCCTAGGCCATTGTGTCACATGGTATCCGGTATCCCAGCCTAGGCCATTGTGTCACATGGTATCCGGTATCCCAGCCTAGGCCATTGTGTCACATGGTATCCGGTATCCCAGCCTAGGCCATTGTGTCACATGGTATCCTGTATCCCAGCCTAGGCCATTGTGTCACATGGTATCCGGTATCCCAGCCTAGGCCATTGTGTCACATGGTATCCCCAGCCTAAGCCATTGTGTCGCATGGTAACCTGTATCCCAGCCTAGGCCATTGTGTCACATGGTATCCGGTATCCCAGCCTAGGCCATTGTGTCACATGGTATCCGGTATCGCAGCCTAGGCCATTGTGTCACATGGTATCCGGTATCCCAGCCTAGGCCATTGTGTCACATGGTATCCGGTATCCCAGCCTAGGCCATTGTGTCGCATGGTATCAGGTATCCCAGCCTAGGCCATTGTGTCACATGGTAACCTGATACCCCGCCTAGGCCATTGTGTCACATGGTATCCTGCATTGCTGTATAATGTATTGCTGGGATTTGTAGTTCCTCTACAGCTTGGAGTCAGGGGCAGAACTCCCAGGGTAGCAGCAGTTGAAGCTGGGACCGGGTCCTAAAATCATTAGTCTGCATTGTTTAAAAAAAGTAAAGTCACAAAGCTAATTAAAAAAATCGTTGATTGGTATCGGCGAGTACTGGCGGAAAAGTATCGGTACTCAGTCTGGATAAAACGGTATTGATGCATCCCTACTGCAAACTAAAAGCTGATTGGCTGTCATGTTACAGCACCTCCCCCCTCCCCGTCTTGCTGAACTCGGT